GATGGACTCTGACATATATATATAAGCATAATGGGCACACTATGATGTAAAATATTAAACCGTTGGTGAAGAGTGAGGTTGAACGTTGCTAAGTTATAAAAGTAAAAATTAATTTTCCTAGAAATATTGGAACAAGCATTTATTTCAGATTTGTTGTTCTCACTTTATATGGGTGTTCTGGATCCCAGTGTGTCCAATCATAATTCACATTACCACCTTCACGAGTCACATACTTCGCCCACGGTGAAATACGATACAAGATCTCTCCACTTCTACTCCGAATCACTACCTAAAAAAAGAACGAGATGTTACTGCCTTAAAATACTTTCAAAACTCTAACATAATGCATGATAACTATGACAACTAAGAAAAGGAGAAAGGATCTTAAGATCTGAACAGTCACCCAGATGTATGACCTTAAAGATACTTAAATTCTATGGACCTTGCTCTCTTCATCAACAATAGTATATGATCCTTAGTCACTTCCAACTTGAATATTTTATGATTCTCTGGCAATTTCCATCATTGCCAATCAAGCATTAGAGTGGTTAATTAAAGTAAGCATACTGTAGATGGTAAGAATATTGAATAATATTGAATTATTGAATTATTATTATATTATTATTATTGAATTGAATATTGAGCATGAATATTATTTGGAAGCTACTGCCAATAAATCAATCAACAGAAGGAAATAATCCTATTATATTTTTAAAAAGTGATAAGTGAGTTATATCATCTCTTCCTTTCCCTTTTCATAACCATTAATAACATTTTCAAGACACTAAAGGAGAAAAATGGTTTTAACAATTGTATTGTAGACACAGACAGACACCCACTAACTACCCTATGGATATTTTTCACTCTTCAACTTCCTCTACACCCCTTTCCAAGTATGTTTTACCATACAAAACTAAACATTTTCCCCTTTAACCTTTCATTTTTATATTTGCCAACAGTGTCAGTATTGTTATCAGTATAAAAAAAACCAGTAAAATGCAAAGGCAATTTTTACTTTTTTAGACTTAGTACTGAGTAGAGAACTTTGAACTTACCAGCAGGGTTAGACAGCAGTGAGCTACATGGACAGAGCTACCAAATGACTAAAATATAGCTTTTTTAAAAGTTTTCTTTCTTTCTTTTTTTTTTTTAAGTAGGAAGAGTAAGACAAAAAAATGTTCAGATCAGGAGCCATAGTGTGCTCTCAGCACTGAGAAAGAACATAGTCTTCAGTCTCCTTTAATAGAGAAAAGCTCAAGTATGCATAATTCTTGGTAATTAAATATTTGTATAATGCTTTATAGTTTAGAAAGGACTTTTATAGCCATATCTCACTTGATTCAAAAGAATCTTCATAACCCAAATATTAAGTGAGATTAAGTGAGTAGCCAGAAGTCACAGATTGGCAGAACCAAACACTCAGCAGACCTTCTGATACTCACTTTCTTGTTCTTAACAGGCTTCCACAGCACTTCCTTCAGATATCAAAGAAGAATAAAGCATGATTTAAGATGGAGGGGGCAGGTGAGTGATAAGAAGGAATGTTTAACTCACATGAACTCAATTTTATCTCCTTCATTATGCCTCCCACTTATTAAAGCCAATCATAGCTAAGTGTGTAATTGTTCAAAAAATTACCACAAAAGCATGAATGAAGAGGATCAACCCATTTCAGGAGGATTTTATCCTCCCCCCTCCCCAAATGTCCTTTAAGGCACCTAAATTTCCAGTATAATACACAACAGTGATATATCTGAGAAATATATTTTGCTCACCCATTCACCCAGAACAGGCTACAGGGAAATACTAGAAATCAGATTTCCATGAATAACACCCTGCCTAATCCATCTATCTTTTCTCTCTTTTGCAAATGGCGCTACAACTCCTCTGAAGGATGACCATAAACCAATAATTATTTCTGAAGGTGTCTGTTGGCAGAGAGAATATTTGAAACTTTAAGTAAAGAACATGAAGAATCTCCTCATGCCAGATATAATTTCCACATTCTTTGGAACATTTATTTATCTTGACATACACATGAATGTCTTTAGAGGCTATTGAGTGGTGGGAGTTGGAAAGAAAAGTCCTTCTATGGGTCTTTCTCAAACCTACATATTTTGGGGGGTATACCAAGAATACAAGGCCCTGACTATTGTTGACAGGGGCCATTTCTCAGGGTTGTGTGTATAGCAAGCAACCCTGAGGAATGAGACAATGTCTCCCTGGAAGACAATGGATAGGGTTCCTTACTGTTTGTTATAGAAGAATGGATTCCCCAAGGTAAATATTCTTCAGCTATGAGGCAAACTAACCATGCACATAGCATCCATCTAGACCATCCAGTGTCACCTTTATAAGACTTGGAAGACTAGGCGAACTGGTACGAGTAAGATGCTCACACTGTGCCATGAGTAATAAAGTCATTTGTCTTGGACTCAGGAGTCCTGTGCTTTCTGCCAGAATCCATGAAATAGTAAGAGGTTAATTGAGGAGTCTGAAGGTACAGTGAAAGAAAGTCCTACACCTGACAACAGACTGTTTACTCATTCCTGAATGACTTCAGTATTTTTGTTACCAAAAGTTCTACTTCATTTTTTATTAGTGTTTTCTATTAGACTTTTCTATTAATCATTTCTTCTTGGGTTGGAAACTTTAATTATCCAATTCTTTTATTGTCTCTTAGTAATAAAATTAGAGCCTGGATCCCTGAATGATATGTAGAAAAAAGCTTCCCACCGAATCTGGACGCTTAACTGTGATCATTACATAAAAGGTAAATTAATTTCTCTCTTCTTGAGGCCCCTGAATTTTGGAGGTATTTTTGTTACAGTAGTTTAGACTCACCTAACCAATACATTTGCCTGCAGTAGCCACCTTACCTTACCTTTGATTTGCTGTTCCTAAATGATTGTGATAAACAACTAAGAGTATTATACAAAATCTAAATAAATCAAACTTGAGAGACAGTCTAATGAGTAAAGAATATAACCTTCTTAGACTAAACTTTGCTCATAAAACTTTCTTGGGGGGCAGCAAAGGGGAGAAATGAGGGTACTTCCTCAATTTGTACTCTCTCAAGTTCAGATTCAGATAAAAGATTTCTTAAGATGAGATAAAACTTTATGCCATTTAATTTATAACCTCAAAATACCACATGCTACATAGAAAACTAAAAAGAAAGAACTAGCTTGACTGATCTTTCAAAGATAGTAAATCTAACCACTGATGGGTAGAAGAGGTCACCTGTTACTACCAAACCGGAAGTCTCATTCACTACTAGTATGATATAAAATAGTAGGAATATTCTAAACAGTAATTTGGCAATGTGAACCAAAAATTTAAAAAAAGTAATTCTCAGTAACTCAGCAATTCTAATTACAGACATTTGTGCTGTGGAAATAATCAGAGATAGGTCCAAAGAACTATATCCTTACCTCTTACTCATAGTGTTACTTTTACTAGCAAAAAGTGAATGACAGAATAGTGCATGCTTATTAAAAATTACACTATTGAATTACACTGAAAGTTGAAAGAAAATTCTTTCAAGTTATAAAAAAGAATGTACTGTATCTTCTTAATACAAATACACACAAACTCACAGACTAAAGTATTTAAAAATAGAAAAGATATTGAGATGGATAGCTATGCATAGAGAATTATCAGTAGCTTTTATTTTTCAGTTGTATCTTTCTGCAGTGTTATCACTTCATTTCACATATAGAGCCCCTATAATCAGAAAAAAATAAGTATCTTAGTAAGGACTGCAAATAGATGAATTGCATAATTGTACGCACATTTGTGGAGCTGTGCTACTCAAGCTGCATTATATAGACATGTGCCTTAAATGTACTGACACTATTAAAAACTGAACTTTTAAAAGTATGTGAATATCACTACATATCACTGTAATAGAAAAATACATCAAATCACATTAAAGGGATAGACTAATGAAAATATGATGAATTTTTATAGAGCAAATTGATAATTTGCAAAATTATAACATTTGTAACACAGTAAAATGTAATTAGGCCCCTTTTAAAATGAGCCAAATTACCTCTTTGACTTATGGGAGGTTAACATCAAAAGACATTATTAAATTAAATAAAGAAGTCAATAAAATAAACCTCTACCTGTGCAAGAGTCAAATTGACTTAGTGAACTGTGTGAAGTCAAATTTTATTTAGAAAATGACACTTAAAACTCAAATATACAATATAAGAAACAGCTTGGTAAAATAGTGAAGACCTGAAAAGAAGTGTATGTGTGTGTGTGTACATGTGAATATTCATTCATTCAAAGAATATTTTTTGAAATGCTTCTTGCCAAAGAATATTGTTCCTTTGGACTAGAAAATCACTAAGATAAGATGTTCCTGTGGTGGCCAACAATTTTATACAAAAACAGTGGATGTGTTCATCTGGTTAGAAATGTTAGCATACTCTGGAAAACGGTATTGCATGTAACTCTGGGATTCATGAGTGAATGTATAGCAGACCGAAAGAAAAGCACAGATATTGAAAAATATAATTCTATTTGTCCAGATTATACTACCAAAATCACAACTACGTGCTATGAAGAAAACTTAAAAAAGAAAAAAAAGGCAGGGTGAAAAAAAGACATTAATAAAGATAACTATTTACTACAGTACAGGTCAAAGTAAATAACCAAGCAAAGTCATTTCAAACTTATGAAGCAATGTTATCTCCTCCTCTTTTAAATTGTCTCTAATTTATATTATAGTATCTAATGTAATCGATATTATATGCAATGTATAAATATAAAAGTATATAAAATAGATAATTGGTATTATATTTTAAAAATAATGGGTATAGCTATACCAACATATTATGCTGAATATTGTGTGTTTAAAATGTGACTAAAAAATGTACATACACATATATATAAATAGAAAAATGCATATACGTACATATAGAACATGGTACAATTTTAAGTAATTTTTGGGGGGTGATGGGGACAGTTAGGTTTACTTATTTATTTTTAATGGAGGTACTAGGGAATGAACCCAGGACCTCATTCATGATAAGTACATGCTTTACCAATTGAGCTATACCCTCCCCCAATTTTAAGTAATTTTTAGAAGTGAGTGGGACAAAAATTAAAAAGAGTGTTAGAAAAAGTAATCAAAAGTTTATATAATTAATTAGGAAAACAAGTGAGTTATGTTCCAGAGGAGAATCTGACGGTTCTACCAATGACCAGACGCCTCAAGAAATAAATGTGGTTTTTTTTTTCATTTTAGTTTTTATTGAAGTGTAGTTGATTTATAATGTTAGTTTCAGGTGTACAGCTAAACAATTCAGTTATCTATATTTTTTTTTCAGATTCTTTCCCATTATATGTTATTAGAAGAAACTGAATATAGTTCCCTGTGCTATAGAATAAGTCCTTGTTGTTTATCTACTTTATATATCATAATGAATCTCTGTTAATTCCAAACTCCTAATTTATTCTTTCTAACTCTGGGCTAAGAAGCTGGAACCCCTGGCTCTTGGGTAGGTCCCCTCCCCTCTCTGGGCCTGTTTCTTCATCTGGAGGAGGTTCTTGCTAGTGCTGACATTCTACTGTATGAAAATGGGCTCCTCTGGTTTCTTTTCACCAGGGACAGAGTCCCCGAGGGGAGGAAAAGCTCAAAGTCAACTGTCTTAAGTGACTTACCAGCTCTATAAAAACATCAAGTCCAAAAAAATAAAAAATATAAAGTCTAGATATTTCTATGAATGACCAGAAGCTTGAAGAAATAAACATGTGTTTTTAATATTTATAATTAACATAGTATAAACATTATTTTAAATGCATAGATATGATTATTAAAACTTCAAAATACCTTAATATAATTTAGAAAGAAGCTCTTAAATATTTTAATTCAACTATAATTCTACTACTAATTTTTATTTTTAAAAAAGGACATGCAAGTATAAATTTTTTTTCACAGTTTTGTTTGTTTGTTATTCCTGCTAGGACCAATTTTATGATTCAGTTAGCTTATTTAAGAAAGAATCTCTTTGCCATTTTGAGATGCTGAGAAACAGTCCCTCAGAAGTTGATATCCTACTCTCTAGACCATGTAAATAATAATTCACATAGCTAAAAAAAAAAAAAGTCTTTGCAGACATAATAAAAGTAAAGATCTTAAAATGGAAAGATTATGAAGATTATCCGGGGGCATAGGGGGGCAATGACATATATCCTTATAAAAGGAAGGCAGAGGGATATTTTAACAGAGACAGAAAATCTAAAAAAAGCAGTATGGCCAAGGAGGCAGAGACAGGAGTGATGCACACATTAGCCAAGGAATGCCAGCAGCCACAAGAAGCTGGAAGTAGAAAGGAACAGATTCTCCCCTAAGCCTCCAGAGGGAGCATGTCCCTGCCAACACTTTGATTTCAGTCCAGTGATACTGATATTTAACTTCTGGTTTCTGAAACTGGTAGAGAAAATATTTGTTGTTTAAACATATCAAATTTCTGCCACAGCCATAGGAAACGATACAGCAATTAAAAAAAAATTAGAGAAAATCACTTTTCTAAGAATAAAATGGAATATACTTAAATTTAGTTAAATTTTGTCAATGGCATTAAGAGTTAAAGTTATCTTAATGAGTAGTTTAAATAACACACTGTATCTCTTATTAACTCCCTACTCCCAGAAAGTAGACAAACATTTCACAGACCTTCACTAAACAAAATTAAGTCCTCAACAAGTCCCAGGAAAAGTAAACTCCTTTAGAATAAACATTGCTGAGCTTTAGAGTTGATAGAAGAGCCTTCAAAAAAGTGAATTTGTAATACGCAGTTTTTATTGCTAGCCTACTCCCATGTAATTATTTTCAGGTATTAAACAACAACAACAAAAAGTCAGTCTTTACTTGACACAAATAAAAGCACTAAATTTACCATAAGGAAAAGCTAAGGAGCTATTTTTGCTACCCAATAATATACTTGTTTCATTAAACAGAAATGAGACTATTAATATAATCAGTTGACAATAACAATGATAACAATAATAATGCTTATTGAAGAAATTTCATTCTGCATTTTTTAATTAGGAACATCAGAAACACTATCTGATATTAAAAGGTATGTATTTTATGGTGAACTTGAGTTTATATTTCAATTAACGAGAAAAGAAAACTGAGACACTAATAAAAGTATCAAGGCAATTTGCTAATAATAATAAGTTCCTGATATATATATGACCAATTTGTGGATAAACTTTCATAAAACTACATATAATTGTCTGGTAAAATTGTAGCAATTAGGGTCATATATGAGTTATCATTGGCATTAGCGTTGTTTAGCTATTGAGCCTGCTACAGGTACCAAATGAACACAGCCTTTGTTAATTGATTTTTTTTAAGTTTCTTTTAATTTTGTCCGAATATTTAAGTTCATACATTTTAGAGATCTCCATCTTTGTTTCATAATTTACTTCATAATTTTTAATTAATCAAACAAACGTATACAAGCCATATAAAATCATCATAAAAAATGGTCACATCCTTGTAATTCCTTTTACATCTACAATATTCAGGGATTGAAGGAGGTAGAAAGAGATTGAATGACTAGATTAAGACTTTTAAACTCATGTAATGCAATTCTGAACAAGGAAAGGAAAGGAAAAGAAAAAGGCAAAATCCTTGCTAGTAGCTTGACTAAGAAAACCTAAAAATCAGTTGAGCTTTGAAAGCAATAATCTATTGATGAATTTTCTCTGGTTCCCATTATTTTCATTTTGTATGAAATGTCTTGCTTTAAAACATACCATCAGAATTCAGTTTTTTTTTTCTTTAATAAGGAAGAAGAAAATTTTCAAGGCTGAATCCTATAATAGCTTGAATAGGAATAGTTAAGGGATTTTGCCAACAAAATGAAGTCACTAATAAAAAAAATTAAATTAAAAAAATTTCCTTAAAAGAAAAGATTAAGCACACTAGCTACAAAAGCTAAATTTGTTATATGACAAAAACGAGTATCAGATCAAATTATACCAAACGTTGGCATAAAGGATACCAATGTACAAGAATAAAAAGAGACTGTTTTTGAGATACAATCCTCATAGCATTATGCTCCTGATTAACATCAATTGTAGAATTAGAGAGATGTAAACATTCACTTCTGTAATGCTTACACACGGGAGAGAAGAAATTGCAAAATATTGTCAAAAAGAAATAAACGAAGATCAGTAGTTGCTTCTTCTAAAAGCAGGTCCTTATTTAGAATGATTTAGAGGGACAGATGCTCCTGTACCTATAAAAAGGAGTATTACTCCCAAAGGTTTCTATCCCAGTTCCCCAATCTTCTAGTCTAGTTAAGAAGTATTACAACTAATACTGCTTTTTTTCTGTTTGTCTTTTGACTGAGGCAAATCTTTACAGAAATAAAGAAACAACTAAGTAGAACTGATAAAGTGTTTGCTTCATTTCAAGTACATCACCTGAACAAAAAAACTTACAAAGTGAGGTCACTACAGAAAGACAAAATCCAAAGGGATTATGTGAGATTTAGGAAGCAGGCATTGAAAACGATATCCCTGAGCAAGTGAGAGTAACCACTCCTAAGTGAAAAGAATAAGAACAAAGTTGAAACGTTGTAATCGGGTAAAGATTGATTAGATGTCTTAACCTAGAAAACAAATGAATTACACATGATATAAAAATATAGGATTTAAACTTCCAAGATATTGAAAGATCAATAAAGTAATAAAAGAAAAAAGCTGTGAAAAGGGGAAAAAATCAGTGAGTTTTCATTACTGAAAAAGTGTGCTTCAAAGAGACTCACCCATGTGCAGTGAAGGCTAGAATTCTATTAAGTAAACAGAATTATAAATCTGGTATAATGCCAGTAAAAAAATATAAGAAATATTTTTCAAAGTGCTGGAATGGGGGAGGTACTATTGCAGAGGAGTTAAAACGCTCTTTAAAATATTTTATTAAGTATAATTACAAAAGTGCATGATGACAAATTGAATGATTTGAAGGAAAAAATTTGATTCCAGTAACTAGTCACTCTAAGTGCTACTGCAATGAAGTAAAATAATAAAGTGTTGGGGGCAGGGATGGGGATGGTGAATAATTTACTCTTTAGAAGAAATCTAGAGAAATCCAGAGACTAGATACAGAATATATAATTCTAAAAATCATAATATCTTTTGAGAAAACACATAATTGTATACATATTATACATTGAGACTAACTCCCAGAATATAATGAATGACTATTAAACAAGGAAACAGTTAATAATGAAAATAATTCACAGTAACATTTAAATATTCTTTATAAATTAAGGTCTCATAATACAGAGTACACTGTACTCCATCTCTTTACTTTCACAAAAGACATGTATTTTACCAGGTGCAGGTGGTATTAGGGGAAGGAGAATTACAAATTAAGCATGGATGAATACTGGTAAGGAAATAAGTAGTACACCCACCAAATGAGAAAGTGATTAAACAGAGAGTATGATGTGAAATAATGACTACATATGAGATATGAAACTCGAGATAAGCATTTGGACACTGTCTTGTCAGCTGACAGACAGTGATGATGGGCAGAAGTAGCGGTAAACAACAGAGGTCTCACGACAGACAGAGCTCTTTACTTTCAACCTTTCTAGTGGAGGTGTATTTAAATTATTAAACATAGATATTCCCATCTTATGTAGGTAGCAAAGGCACAGAACAGCAAATGAACTTTGATCTCCAAGTGTGGTAAGCCCTCTGGAGAAAGAGGAAACTTCTGACAATGCAGTCGATAAAGCACAGGTCAGGGAATTACGCATCTGACTTCTGCATGAGGCTCAGAGAATAACCATGTGCTGAGATGCAGTGACCTAAGGCTCACTGTTTTCACATGCATATATATATATGAATATATATATGAATATATATACATGCCCATGAGATTTTTTTTCCAATCATGGGCACACAGTTAACTCGAGGAAATTTCTGGCTTACTGGCATATAGAACAAACTAAAAGATGAAAAGACTGAAGAGTAAAAATAACAACAACAA